CCGGTGCCGCCGGATGCTGTTAAAAAACCCCTTCAGGCCTTTTTTGGGCCTGGGAAAGGAGGACTTGTCCCCATTGGGCTTTTTGTCACAGCCCTCGATGCTCCCAGGGGGAGAGTTGTCCTGCTGGCCCAAGTCCCCCCTGGCTCCGGTGTCCCCGGGCAGCTGAGCGCTGCGGGAGCATGGCAGGGGGCCGGGATGCACATCCAAGGGGCTGTCGGGTTGGGCCCTGTCAGACGTGGCACTGCTCAGCCCGTCATGGGTCTTGCACTTGCTGAGCCCCTTCTTGCCCTGGCCCTTGCCCCGGCCACCGAAGAAGCTGGGCAGGGTGCAGATGCTCCTCTTGCCCCCGAACAGCTTGAAGGCCGTTTTCCGCAGCTTCCCAGGCGGCGGAGGCTGCGGCTCCCCGGAGTTATTGGCACCCTCGGGAGATGCATCCCCGCCCTCCTCTCGCCGCTGGTCACCGCAGGTCCGCTCCTCCAGGCTGCCCATCTCCATGGCAGCAGGGCTGGGATCTAGCTGGGAAGGGCAGCTTCGGGAGCAGAGCCCTCCTGGAGCAGGGATGGGCTCATCACAGCTGACCTAGGACAGAGGGAAAGAGGAGAGAGGTGAGGGGAAGGTGCAGAGCCAGAAGTGTCGCAGGGAGAAGGGCTACATCACCAGCTGGAAATGGAGCTGCAGGAGCCTCTGAGCTCCCTCCACTCCCAGAAACCAGCCACCAAAATGCAGCGATGCTTAAATTTACCAGTTTGCCAGAGCAGGCAAATCACAAGGCAAGTCCCTACCAGGCAATGTCCCTGGGGACAGGCAGGTCCGACCCCCAAGCCATCTCGCTCCAACCCCTTCAGCTTCCCAGATATTTCTGCCTCCAGGGAGATCAGATTCGGCCACCAGCCACCTCTGAGTGAGGAAACAGAGGCTGCTCCAGCAGGGAGAAGGGCTGGCACCTGCCAACCCCCACTTCCCACCCTCCCACACCCCGTGCCAAGCCTCCTGAGGGAGGCCAAACCAGGACACAGCCCTCACACTACACACGTGTCCAGCAAAAAACCCCACTTGGGTTACTATGCTGGCTTTTCTTAATAGAAGATTTCTGGTTTTTTTTAAATAATCTGTCCAGCGAGGGAGAATCGCATCAAAAACACCCACTGTGAACCCCCTGATCAGATTATCCCGGAAGAAGAGAGGTAGGTTGGAAATATGATCCTGGATCACTATCAGATACGGGAGAAATAAAACAATTACAATCATGTTTCTTTTGCAGAGATGAGGGTGGAGAAATTAAATGCAATAAAACCCTAAAGCACTGCCAAGCTGTAATGCCTGAGGCTGAGCTCTGACCAGTGTGAGGCCAGGGAAGCTCCTCATGGTGTTTAGCCAGAGATCCCAAATTAAAAATACATCCAAAAGGCCTCTGCTCCTGCAACCCCACAGAAAACCTGCCATCTCAGGGTTATTTTTTTTCCCTCAGGTGTAGGTTGCTTTGCCTCTACAATTTGACATCACTGCCCACCGTAGGGGTTGGAAGTGGATGGGCTTTAAGGTGCCTCCCAATCCAAACCATTCCATGACTCTGGAATTCGGGGATTGCTGGTAACCCCTCACATTCACCTGTCCCTCTGGAACCAGCAGCTAGGGTGCATCTGGGGTCACGTTCCCATTGGCAAAATGGGCTTTTCCAGCTCTGCCAGAGCCTTCCCAGAGTCCCAGATGCCTCCAAAGTCTCTGGAGCATCGCTGGGCCTGGAAGGGACCCCCACACCTGGTACCTGTGCAGAGCTGCTGGAAAACTGGGGGGTGGAATGACCCCACACCTGTACCTGGACAGGGGCTCCTTGAAAAAATAGCAATGGGGGGGATGAAACAGAGCCAAGATTTCAAAAATTCCATTTGGGAATCATTTCTCCCCGGCTCCACGTCAGCACAGGCTGCGGGCACGAGGGGGGAAGGGGGTGTTGGAGAAGAATAAAAAAATGAAAATAATAAAAATGAAAATAAAGAAAAATGAAAGGCACCGAGGGCAAAGAGCCCCGATTAATAAACCGCGAAAAACAGGGTTTAAAACCAACAACAAAAAAAAGCACCG